CTTTTAGCATGTAAAAAAACAAGAAAAAAAGTCAAGGAAATGGTTAGGAGAACTACTTGATCCATTCTTTGTATTTCATTTCATACAAAAAGGAGAAAAATAGCCTGACCTATCAAAACAATATCATAAAAGAGATTAGGAATATAAATCAAAATAGTCAAGAAAATGGTAGGGCAAGATCTATCCTCTCTAGACAAATGCAAATCACCAGGACCAGATGGATTACATCCCAGATGTTCTGAAGGAGCTGGCAGATGTGATCTCAGAGCAACTGAACCATATATTTCAAAGATCATGGACAACTGGGGAACTACTGAGGATTGGGAAAGAGCTGATGTGGTTCCCATCTTCAAAAAGAGTGGGGGGAAGAATCCTGGAAACTACAGAGCAATCAGCCTGACATCAATACATTGGAAGATCCTGGAAAAGATAATCAGGCAACAGATCTGCAGACACTTAGAAATAAGCAAAGTTCTTTCTAAAAGCCAACATGGAATTGTCAAAAACAGATGCCAGACAAACTTTATTGCATTCTTTGACAAAGTGACTAGATTAGTGGACCAGCAAAATGTTGTGGACATAGTATATTTGGGTTTCAGTAAGGCATTTGACAACTAGACCACAACCTACTTCTTGATAAGATAGAAAAATGTGAGACAGACAGAATCACTACCAGGTGGAATCATAAGTAGCTGACCAACAGGACGCAATGTGTAGTCCTCAATACAACAATGTATCTACATAGAGAGAAGCATGCAGTGGGGGCTCCAAGATTCTGTCTTAGTCCCAGTACTCTTCAACATCTTCTAAATTATTTAGATAAGAGGATAGAAGGGGAACTCATCAAATTTACAGACAACCAAACTGGCGGTAACACTTTAGAAGGTACAGAAAGATCTTGACAGACTTGAACAGTGGATCATAGCCAATAAAATGCAAAAAAGCCAATGCAGTCCTAGATTGCATCAACAGAGGGATAGTATCAAGATCAACAGAAGGATAGTATCAAGATTATGTGAAGGGTTAGTATCACTATATACTGCTTTGGTAAGACCACACTTGGAATACTTTGTCTAGTTTTTGTCTCCACAATTAAAAAAGATGTTGATATTCTAGAAAGAGTGAAGAGAAGAGCAACAAAGTTGATTAGGGAGCTGGAGACTAAAACATAACAGTTGCAGGAATTGGGTATGTCTAGACAAATGAAGGAAAGGACAAGGGCAACATGATAGCAGTCTTGCAAATTTTGAGGAGCTATCACAGAGAAGAGGGGGTCAATCTATCTTCAAATGCACCTGAGGACAGGGCAAGAAGTAATGGAGATTATCAAGGAGAGATGCAATCTAAAACTAGGAAGAAATTTCCTGACAGTGAGAACACGTAATCAGTGGGATGGCTTGGCTCCAGAAATTGTGGGTGCTCCAATACTGGAAGTTTTTAAGGAGAGATTGGATAGCCATTTGATTGGAGTGGTATAGGGTCTCCTGCGTGAGCAGGGGTTGAACTAGAAGACCTCCAAGGTCCCTTCCAACTCTGTTATTGTAGGTGTTGATCTGTAGCAAATAATTGGTGGTTTTCAAGATAACAGTGAAGAATAAGTAGATCTCCCATGTCTTAAGTAAGTCTAATTCAATTATATTCATCTCGTCTGTGTATATTAAAAAGGAGAGGATGGTTCACAGCTTAAAAACTGCAATTTACTGGTATTCATATTAATTCAGAAATCAAATTCATATTTGAAAATAAGGAAATAAACTCATTTGCCCCAAGTAAATAATTCCTTCTTTTATTGTTTTCTTCATTAATATCTCAATATACTAAATTTGCTTTTAGGCAGTACCATCTCAGTCATTTAAACTCATCCTTTCTCCCCCATTAAACTGCATATCCTGACATATGTTGCTTAAAAGCAATGCAAATGCAAACCACTTTGCTTTCAGCAAAAAAATGGGTCTTAGATAATTAACTTTTCTAATGGACACTTCAAATAAGCAAATAATGATAGATTGCCCTGAGTCATCTCTATGGGGCGTGACATTTCTTGCTGAATTTGTTTCTTTTTTTAATCATCATTTTTTTAAACATATATGTCAAGTGAATGCATATTCTACTTTTTCTCTAGAAGCTCCAGGCAAAATATAGTATTCTGTGTGCAATAACCCTGTGAGATAGACAGGGCTAAGCAATAGCAGTAAAGTTCTTTAGAGAGCATCTAATCATGGCCAAATATAGTTTTAGGAGCCTTAATGCGGAATTTACCCATTACATAATACTGTTTTATTATTTCCTTTTTACATTTACTTGTTTCCACTGGTGTTTCTAAATTTGCATCGCACTTGAGAAATCGGATGAAAATATAAAAGCACTGGAAACTGAGAAAGATGGTAAGCTTGACTATTAAATAATTGGAAATGCCGTATTGAGTGGCATGCTGTATATGTAACAAAAGAGGGACAAATGAGAGTAGAAATGTATTAGAGGTGAGAATTCACCGTCGAGTAATACCATTAGACCACAACGTTGGAAAAACTTGAAAAGCTGATAGGAAATCCATTATAACTACCTGCATGGAATTAGNGCTGAATGAGTTTGGCCAGATCAATAGGAATAGGTCAGTTTATGCCAATCACCCGGAGACAATGACTTCTATTCCATCAAAAGGCATGCTGCATTCCAGTCCTCCAATACCCATGTTTGGTGGTTAAGTGAGATTTGGTCAATCAACAGGAGACAGTGGGTTCATCTCCTACAATATGCACGACAGGTGGCCGAATGACTTTGAGCAGATCACAAGAAGACGGTGAGTTCTACTCCTTCAATTCGCATGGCAGCCAGCTGAGTATATTTGGGCCAATCATTAGAAGATGGTGAGTTCAAATCCTGAAATATGTATGACAGGCGGCTTTTTGACTTTGGGCAGATCAGCAGTTGAGGGTGAGTTCTACTCCTGCAATACGCACAACAGTCTGCTGAGTGATTGGACCAATAACCAGGGAAGGGTGAGTTCTAATTCTCCATTATGCATCAAAGCCTGCCATCCTTCCTTCCTTCCTTCCTTCCTTCCTTCCTTCCTTCCTTCCTTCCTTCCTTCCTTCCTTTTTCCCTTCCCTCCTTCCTTCATTTATTTCTCTCTTCATCTTTCTCCTTTCTTCCTCCCTCTGGCAGTTCAGTGATTTTAGTCCAATCTTTTTTTTTCCCTCGGAAGGAGGCAATGGCAAATCACTTCTCAAAATCCTTGCCAAGAAACATGCACAGATTAGTTCAGACAGTCTCTGAGAATTGGACCCGATGGAACAGAAAATGGATGATGAAGACAGAAGAGAAGCTCCTCAGCACATCGTGTCTTTGCTAAGACCAGAAGGAGGCTCGGCAGAAGCTCTGTTGTCCCCCACGCAGACCAACATCCCCTGTTGCATGATCTGAAGTCATTGACTGAAATGGGATCTAGGACATTTCCCTGGACGATGGCTGAATGAGCCAGAACCCCTTGATGCTGCACTGCATTAACCAACAAGTGTAGAGTCCTCACAAGCCATAAATTCAAACCAAATTAATCTGGGCAAACTGGCTGGGAATTTGGGGAGTTGAAGTCCCCACATCTCAAAGTCGCAAAGTTCGAGAAACACTGATTTAGAGTCTTCTCCCAACTCCAGCTGGCTGCAGGCAGCTGATTTTCCCCAACGGAATAATGAAAATGAAAAAAAAAGAAAAAAGAAACTGACTGTGAGCATCCAGGAGATCCTCAGAACACATAGTAATCCGTGAGGTCTTCTCCGCCAGCCTGCCTCAACACCTGGCACTGCACCCAGCTTTGCAATGATGCGACCAGCGCACAGAAGAAATCCACCTGGACCTGTCTCCATTTGATTCATAATTTATTCTTAATAAATGTTGCAAGACAAGTCATGGTACCCAGTTACTCCTGAACCCCTTCGTTTCAGTTGTCAGCCACCCCACTTAGCACACCTCAAAGTCCTTTCTGTATTCGAGTTTCTGCTTGTGGCCTCTGCCCCAGGCTGGGTCCAGCTGCT